CCCACCAGGTTTCCCTTAGCCCTACTAAGTCATAGGTGTTTTGTGCAAGCAGGAGCGCTAGTTCATCCTGCTTGTTCCCCATGCTCCTAGCATTAGTATATAGGCACTTGAGCCCTGCGACTGGTGCCTTTGCTGCCCCCCCCCCCCGCTCCTAAACCCCGGCGGGCCCCGGCACATGGTTTGGTGGTCCACAGCTTCCCCCGCCCTCATCTTCCCCTCCCCCCGACGAGCCTAGTTTAAAGCCCGCCGGAGGAGATCCGCCAACCTAGAAGAAAACACACGCTTACCTTTTGGGGGACAGGTGAAGCCCTGATTGATAATAGTAATAGAGTATTTGCTTCTCATTTTAAACCCTGTAAATCAGATCAGTTTTTGGGCCAGAGTGAGGAAAGATAAATGAATGCCGCAACACTGAGTTTTTTTCAGTGCTAGAAGATGTTATTTTCTTAGACAATTTCCAGGTGATACGGTAGCTACAGATAGCACTCCAGCCTGCTTTTAAAAAGAACATAGTCAAGGAGCAGCAAGAATGGTCTTTTGTAGGTGTGCACCCACAGAGGTTTTCTTGGCCGATACCAATAGCCAATGATTAACCAACCATATTGACCAATGCCAATCCTATAACCGATATTAATAATAGTGCAAGGCATTTTAAACTACCAACATAAGCCTTTTTTTGTTTGTTTTGCATTTATAACGCACATGCGTGAACATACACACCCTTTTTGTTTGTTTTGCATTTATAACACACACCCCTCCTGCCTGCTCTGGCCCTTGATGAAGGCAGTGACTACCTTATTCCCATGCATGTCACCCCATTGCCCATGGCTTCTACCTGCGGGTCCACTCCTGCATAGCCTGTGCTGCTGTCCTGGGCAGGTGAGGCAGACCGTCTTGTGGATAGTGGCACTGAGCACATTTGGAGCCCCAGAGCACACTGCTGCTGGTGTGCCAGCAGGGCCTGCGCAGCCAAGGTGCAAAAAGCTACTTTTGCAAAGGTGTCTGATGCCCGGCAGAGCAGAGTGTCCCTTGTGCGGTGCCTTACCTGCCTGCGCACAGTCCAACGTCTCCACAGCAGTCCCAGTGCTCAGCTCCCTCTTGTGCGTGCAGCATGGCCATGGTAGCTGCAGTAGCAGCAGGAGCTGGTAACAGTCCCTTTGTTGCTGAGTGTGCTGTCCTGTGACCGCTTCTCAGTGATCCCTCCCACTGCTCACTGGGACCTGTTGTCTGCTGCTGTAATAATGACTATGCTTGCCAGGATGCTCTGGGCATGCAGCCATAATTATCAGTTACAACAACCAAAAAAAAGCTGATAGCTAATTAATGTAGTATCTTCTTTTATCAGTACCAATCTTATAGCCAACCAATATATCAGTGCACCCCTAGTCTTTTGTTATAGTAAAAGTGCAAGACTACTCTTGGCTCTGCCTCAGTCATCTAAGTCAGTCATTGCCTGATCTATTATGAAGTTTGTGATCAGTTTGTTTAGCAAAGTTAAAATCTGAGTAAGTATTCTAGATAACCCATTTGGACACACTGAAAAGATATGTGCAAAGAAAATTGCTGCTAATAGTTTTCTCTGTTAGTATTAGTTTTTTCTGTCTAGAGGCTAATCTTATCTTGATTCCACTGAAGTCAGCCATATGTCCATCTGCTAATGTAATAAATTCAGCTTTTCTTAAGTTTCACTAAAAGATCAAGCAGAAACATCTGTTTGACTAGAAACCTTTTGTGCAATTCGTTAATCTGACGTTTGAACATGGGGATAGGGGTCTGAGTTTGGGGAATTCCTCACTGTAACATGGAATTCATCTGTTAATGTGTTTTTGTTTCATTTTTCAGCTCCAAGTCCCACTTCAGCTGTGCCATACGTGTCAATCAAATGCATTGATGTACGAAAAAACCACCACAAAACCAAATGGCTAATGCCGTGGGGACCCAACCAGTGTGAGAAGATCAAAGACTTCGATGAGGCAGTGAGCAGGCAAATAGAGGCCAATGATATTGTGTTTGCTGTCCATATTCCTCTCCCCCCCAATGAGATGAGCCCCTGGTTCCAGTTTATGCTCTTCATCTTGCAGCTGGATGTTGCTTTTAAGATGCATAATGTCATACGTAAGTAACTTGCTGTCTTTTCCAAAATGCTCTAATAGTGTTTAACATTGTCCACGGTGTGCCTTTCAACTCTTTACCTTCATACCCTGATATCGCTTAAAATAAATCATGAACAAGCCACTCAGTTAAAAATATCTATATCTACAGAGATGTGCTATGTATTTCTACTATGGCTGCAGGTGTAGCTCATCTCTATTGGATGTTTTGCAAGAGTTGTTTGTAGTACTGTATTATTATTGTTTTTTTTAAATACTAATATTTTTGTAAACTTGTAGAATCGGAAAAATACTCCAGTTCATTTGCTTATTTACACTGCTTTGTTCCTTCACATTTTAAATTCAGTTTGGCAATGCCACCAAGTAACAGTTCTTAGCTGACTGCTAAGATAAAATTGTATTTTTGAAGTATTATGATGGCTTGAAGAATGAAATTTGTTTCATTTGCTCACCAAGTACATTAAAGCTAGAACCAGAAGGTTTAGTGTTCACATGTTGGCCTTACAGTCTCTAGAACTAGTAGAAAAGGTGTTCAGTAGTCCTTCCAATATGAAATAAATATGAGATCAGAATAGTTTGCTGTTGGGAGGGATTTTGAGGAGTAAAGCTTAAACAGAGCTGACAGGATCAAGCAGGTATAGAGAGAAATTCCATGGCACTGCTTGTAATACATCGCTGGCTAAAAGTTTCTCTAATGTTAACCTCCATTAAGCATTCAAAGATACCATTTAAAGCCACAAATCAATGTTGCATTAACTTGTTCCCCTCTCGCCAAAACTGACAGCTTCTAAGCCAGGGGTGGACAATTATTCGGGCCCAGGGGCCATGTAGGGAGTTTTGATGAGTTGCTG